TGTCGGCCCAATAAAACAGTGCAAAAGGGAAACGGCGCGTCAAACTGGAGACAAACGGTCCCAACCGGTCCCGGATGAACACACGAAATAACAATAAACGAACAAACGCGTTTAATGCCAGTAAAGATAAAATCAGCAAACAAGGCGACAAAATATAATTATATCGCCCGCACTAGCGATTAAGTCCACCTTATACAAACAACGAAATGGATCGGTGACAAACGAATAAAACCAAACGCCAGGATCATGAACAACGAAACTAACAGAATGGCGACTCACTCGGTTGTTTCCGCGAACCTGATAAGGATGACATAACCTATAGCCGACGGCGCAGGTACGGCAGGAACAGTGTTTCCACGAACCAAATTTTACTGTTTTTTTTTTTTTTTCTTGGCGTCGTCTGGCCCAAACAGTTATAATAAATTATATCAAAACAAAGGCTGTTTTTAACATTAAAATATTTTAATCAATAATCATACACCTATACACATTTTTTTTTCATTTTTTTTTTTTATTTATAAAGTGTTACTGACAACAAGGTCATATAACTTATTGATAAAAAGACAAATTTTTAACATACAATAGTTGTTATAAATAAATAAGTAAATACAATAAATTACAGTTATTTACATAGATGAGTAGCTAGATAATAGAATTAACATCGTAATAATTAGTTAATCTAGGTGTATAATTTTTTTTTTTATTATTTAAATATATATAATATATATACGTATATTATTGACGTTGAGAAAGGGCATCATGAGGACGTCCGCGATTGAGACGTCGGAGGGTAGGCTTGTCGCTGAGTTTGAAATATTTTGCACTTTTGGCGTTGTTTAGTTGGCCAAGGAAGTTGACTGAGAGATTCTGTATGTAGGATTTAATCATCGGGAGTCTGAAGTTTGTGTGAAGTGCTTCGTTTCTGACGAACCACGGCGCGTTGGATATTATGCGTAAAATCTTGGACTGGAAGACTTGAATTTTATTTATTTGAGTTTTGGCGCAGTGTCCCCAGATAGGGGCAGCATAGAGTATTAATGGTCGTAGAATTTGCTTATAAAGAAGCATGGAGCACTTCCAGCTTAGGGCGGTTTGACGGTTGATTAAGGGATAAAGAATCTTAAGTCGTTGGTAGCCTTGTTGAAGTTTCGAAGAAATTTGAGGGTTCCAGGTTAATTTTTTGTCTAAGATAACTTCAAGATATTTTATTGTTGGAGACCAGGATATGTTGTCGCCATTAAGTACTAGAGAGGGAGGGTTATTGGGACGACGAAGTGTAAATAATACTGCCGTACTTTTGAGGGGTTTAGGATAATTTTCCATTTTTTCGCCCAGTATTTTATTTTGTTTAAGTGGCTCTGTATATTTTCAGTGACAATGTGGACATCGCTGGAGCTTGAATAGACAACACTGTCGTCAGCGTATTGGGAAACTCCGTGTTAGATGTTGTGGGAAAATCCGCGATGTATAAATTAAAAAACAGGGGAGAGATTTTAGATCCTTGGGGAACACCAAGTTATTGCTGAATTGGTATAATTTATGCGAACTGCAGAACAACGATCAGAGAGGAAAGATTTAATTATATTAAAGATGGTAGGATGGGTATTTAATGTTTTTAATTTGAATAGTAGGCCGTCGTGCCAGACACGATAAAATGCTTGCGTGATATCTAAAAAGGCTGCACCGGTGTGAAGTTTTTTTTCAAAACCGTTATTTATGTGTTCAGTTAGGCGGAGGAGTTGTTGAGTAGTTGAGTGCATTGATTTAAAACCAAATTGATGATGTGGAATGGCTTCAGTTGCGTCTAGATGTTTTGATAACCTGGTATATATGATTTTTTCAAATATTTTGGAGACTGAAGATAGTAAACTTATGGGCCGGTAACTATTAGGGTTTTTGTTATCTTTTCCGGGTTTTTTAATCATTATAATCGTGGCTTTTTTCCATTCGGTTGAAAAGTGGCCGATTCTCAATAATGAATTGAATAAAGTAGATAAATATGTGATAGCTTTTTTTGGGATTTTTTTTTAATATAGCATTTGTGATGAGATCGTGTCCTGGAGATTTTTTGTTTGGTAATCTTTTTATTATTTCATTAATTTCAGTAGGAGTGGTCGAGGGAAGTATGTTTTGTGAATGAATATCTGGTTCCACTAGTTTGTTGTGCACCGCGGTTTCTATTTCGGTGTCAACAATATTGTTCGGTGAAAAAGTATTTTCTAGGGTTTTGGCAAAGAATTCGCATTTTTCAGCATTTGAGTTTAGGTAGACGTTATCAGATTTTAACGGGGGTATAACACTAGCGTTTGGTTTGATTAAACGTTTGGTAGCGAGCCACAGGTTTGAGTCCGAAGGATGAATTGTAGATAAATAATTTTGGTAAGAAGCTATTCTTTGTTCTTCGAGTAAAATTTTGACTTTTTAGTAAGATAATTAAGATTTTTCCGGTCTTCAGTTCGCCTATGGAGCTGCCACAGTCTCCTGGTACGGTGTTTTATTTTTATCAATTTTAGAATTGAAGTAGGTATTTGAGAAAAAGTATTATTTTGAGATTACGTATGTTACAAGACGGGTTTGAACAGTGTTCCGCTGCTAGATGAATAATTTCCTGTAAATGGTTTGTGGCTGCATCGGCTGCAAGAGTGTTATTTATGTTTTTCGGGATTTTTATATTGTGGGTTATATAGGTTTTAAATTTTTCTCAGTTTGGTTTGCCGCTTATAAGTTTACGTGATTTTGTAGATACTCTCAGGGCGCCCCCTATTATAATTTTAACAGGCAGGTGGTCTGAGTCAAGTTCAAATAAGGGCTCTTGATGAATTGATAGAGGTATTGATTTTAATAATATTACGTCTAGTATGTCAGGATTCTATTTTGGTAATATGGATAATATGTCGGGGAGTCAGGTAAAGAGATAATTGCTGAAGTATTTGTAAGGTATTTATGTAATTTACGACCATTTTGATTTGTCATTTTGCAGTTCCAAATGGTATGTTTGGAGTTCAGGTCACCAATAATCATTACTTTTTGAAAACTACAAATAATTTTATCGAAGTCACTTATGAACATTTTAAAACTTGGAGATTGATATGCGCTAATTAGAGTTGTAATTACATTGTTGATAGATATAGTAATTGCCACTGCTTCCAATGATTGTAGAACAGGTATAAAAGTGTGATGGTGTTTTATTTTAGATTTAATTATAATAGCTACGCCGCCTGAAGGTCGAGCTGCTAATCTGTCTTTGCGATAAGTGACATAGCCATTAAATTTTATCTTATCTGCGTTAATTAAAATATGTGTCTCGCTGATGCAGGCTATATCTACATTGTTACATTGTGAGAGTTCAAAAATGCAGCAAAAGTATTTCTGTTTTATTTAAGGCCATTGGCATTCCAATTTATGATAACTAAATTGGCATTATTAATATTATAGAAGTTGACTGCCATGTACTTGACTTAATAACGTTGGGATATATTCGATGACTTTTTTTATAATTTCTTTTAATGGTGAATTTATGGTGGGCATTAGTAACTGCAGAAGCTCGCTTTGGATATTTGGTTGGGAGGGAGGTGGTTGCCGATGTTCGTAGGTATTTGTTTTTGTTATCTCTGCATAGGACTGTTTGTTGATATTACTGAAGACAGGTGGGTTTGTGCTATTCTGAGAGAGGTGATTATAAGCAACATTTTGTGACGTTGATGCGTGATTGTTACTGTATATATTAACTTCGGTATCAGACTGCTTATGGGTAGTAGTGTTTTTAGAATTTGTTTGACGAGATTTATTTTTTAGTTGTTTGTAAGCTGTGCAACCTCGGTAATTGGCTGGGTGATTCCCCAGACAATTTACACAGGTAGGGGGGTGGGGGGGGGAGATGAATCTTTTGTGCAGGCGGAATAGTGATGATCTCCCGAACATTTTACGCATCTGGGCGGAAGTTTACAGAAGTTTTTTGGTATGCTGGAATCTTTGACAATTTTGGCATTGAGGTATGTTAGAATCAGTTTTACGGTTTTCGATAGATATAATGCAGTTTAGTAGACGGTCTACTGAAAAAATATCTTTTGCCGTTTTTTCGAGTAGTACCGCTACTATCGGTATGGGAGATTTATGTTTATTTTGGAGTCGAGTTACTAAGACAACAGTGAAGTTTAGATCGGTAATTATGTTAAAGATTTGTTCTTCGGGTATAGATGTGGGAAGGTTTCTAATTATTACGGATAACTTTCGGTCTTCTGGAAGTTGATACGTATATTTTATTTTGATTTCGGTAAAATATTTAGTGCTAGTGCGGTAGTCATCGACTGATGTGAGATTAAGTCTCAAGACAGTATTTTTGTTAGCTATGCTAAACTCATCTATTATCATAGGAGTTATTGTGTCGCGAAAGTGAATATAATCTGTGATATCGTAAACATAAAGAGGTGGTATTTTTTATCTTACCTCCGGCGTATCAATTTCTATGTTGTCTGATTGGCCGTTGTCAGTGTCTACTAAGTCCAATAAAGGTGAGAATTTGTTCTTGATGTTTTCCCGAGGTGAAAGAGCTGTGCTGGCTGTTCGTTTGTAAGTGGTGTTATTAGTAGGGTTGGACGGCTTTTTAATGGGCGCAATGCCCGAGGTTTGACTATGAACACAGAACGCGCGTTAGAAATTGGTTACTAACGGACAATCTGTTACGTCGGGCGGTGCGCGAGATTAGGTTAGGTTAGGTTAGGTTAGGAATTATATGAACTTATGTATTTAGGCAGTTGTATTTGAATAATAATTTTATGTCAATTATATGAATAATTAATATAAAAACAGAATAATGATGTATTATGCTTAAGATGAATAATCAACGATTGAAAATATTATCGAAATTCTTAGCAAAAGATTCATACTACATTTTTTGCAAATAATAATTGTGAAGATAATATATTAAATAATATAAAATAATGTTAGAGATAAATATAGATTGAAGACCCACAAAATGAACAAATGTTTTGGCACTGTAATTCACTGAATATTTGTTTAATTGTTTACAATATAACATTATCTTATGCAAGGTTTAAGTCAAGCACGTAAACAAGGTGGGGGAGGGGGGTTAGGTTAGGTCCAAATAGGCAGATTTATTTATTTATTGTCATAATCTTAAATACATATAAATATGTAGGTAACATTCATTGACTCGATAAGAAGATTGATTAAAAACAATTAAAAACAATTAAATGATAGATATTAATATTTATGAGTTAGTAATATTATTTAATTTCTCGCATTCTCTGATAGGAGCTTGATTTGAAAAACCACGGAATATCATTGTATAAGTAATAAACTGATCTTGATTACAACCACAATTTCCAGTTGGGTCGCTTAAATCGATATATTTTGCAACTATTCCTTTTGCTTTTATGTCACTTGCAAATTTACCCTATAAATTAAAAATAATACATAAAATCAAGCATAAAGAGTACTTGATAATTTTTAAAAAAATTTACTTTTTGAAAAAATGCATCAGCATTATCAGCACACCAGTAAAGAGTATAGTTTCCAGGTTCACATAACTAAAAATGTTAAAACGTATTTAAAAAAAAAAAAAGAAAAATCATAGTTATTAACTTCATTATTTTTAAAACAGTGTATCCGAATTGGTACCCGGGTTGTTACGAATTGGTTCCCGGGAAAAAGCAGACTTAAGACTCTATATATTTTGCAAGAATGGTTAAAAATTTTAGCTTTTGTCATGAATGTAATTTAAAAAAATAAAATATAATAATGATACAGTTTTTCAATTCATCAATCAAATTTAACATATATTTCAATTTGAACTTCTTTCAACACATCAATAAATTGAAAAATGTTCGGATTTGCGCAATAGAAGCAACTGTTGAACTTGCTGTGAAGTTGTTCGTTCTATACTACTGGTATATTCAGCCCACATTGTGGGTGGAAATAAGCTATCTTTTTCAATATTAATAATTACCTAGTGTATAATTAAAAAAATCTTCCAGCTTTTCATTAGTAGGTTTTAATGACATCAAATCATTCGTATAGCAATAATTGCTAACTTCTTGGGGCGATAATAAAGATAAGCAAAAAAATAATTTTAATATTCCTCCTATTTCGGAATCGTTATTTTTAAATTCTTTTGATAGCCCTAATTGTTATATTTTCCTCTATCATGCTTGGCCCAAGTGAAACCGACGACCTTTTAATTGAAATAAAAGCCATATTTCAGAGATCGCTACATGAATGGCTCTTTCAAAGTCCGCATATATTTTATCTGGGTTTAAATAATTTTGAATTGAACAAAAAGCTTTTGTATACGTGTCACTAGTTTTATTTGGAAGTAAAAAGAAAACTAAAGGAACATAGTGGTTTTTTTTTTTACACCGTGAACTGTAAAAAGATAGTAAAAAGCTTGGGACAACTTTTGAATGTACCGTCAATAAACACAGTTTTCATTTCACGTAATTTTTCAAATTGCTATCACTTAAACATCCAATAATATTGGTTTCTGCACTATTAATAAATAAAAAATGTTCTCTCAGATTAGTCATTAAATTATAATTTTTCAATACATTATAAGTCTCATCCAATGTTTTAAGCAAGGTTGATACAGTACTACACCGACTAGCATGTATATTTTTTTCTAATTCTACATAAATCTTGAGTAACTATGGTTTCAATGTCGCATTTAGACAACTCACAGCGAATTATTTTTACTGGTCGTTCATGCAATACTTCCATAACTTTTCGTTATGTATTATATTTTTATCGACAACTATATTTATATTATTTAGTTTCAAATACGACTTACATTTTCTTTTGACACACGTCCAACGGTCGATGTCATCTGTCAAGTTTTTTTGGAATCCAAATTTATAACCTTCTAGTGTTGGCCAACGATATCGATATCTCGATATGATATCGATATCGTGACTTATTTTTGGGTTTTTCGATATCGATATCGAATTAAATATTATCGATATAAAGCGATATCGTTAAAATCAAATTATTATTATTAATCTGATTTATGATTTTTATTATCTAATAGCATTACTAATAGTAATTTACTATTTATTTTTATCTTATATTTTTATTAAAACGACTATATTTGGTGCCAGTCGGTAGATAATTTCTACAATTCAATTTAGTTCCGATTATTCGTTCGTATTTGTGCATTGTGCGTTTATATTGTATCGTAGACGAAAAACGTAAATTTTATAAAATGAACGAAAACTTTAAATTAATCCCACTGGCTGGAGCTAGAAGTAAAATTTGGCAACATTTTGGTTTTCAAGCTGATGTAAACGGAATTATTTTAAATAAAAAACAAGTAGTTTGTAAAAATTGTAAAATTTCTGTTGGTTATAGTGGCAATACGACCAATTTAAATTCACATTTACAAGTATGTACTAATGTAAATGTAATTCCAAGTTCTTCAAAATCAAAAACTATTGTTTCGTATTTCAAAGACAACAATTCAAAATTATCATTCAAAAGTAAACGTAGTAAGGAATTAACAAAAGGATTAGTAAAATATGTTGTAAAAGATTTGAGACCATTAAGTATTGTACATGGAACTGGTTTTCTTGAATTCATGCAAATAGCTGTCCCTGAGTATGTTGTTCCAAGTAAACAAACGATTACGAGATTGGTTGATACGACTGCCCGAAACGAAAGGAATAATTTCAGAATCTTTCTGGAAAATATTCCGCATGTTTCTTTAACCTTAGACTTTTGGACCTCAGCATCAAATCATAGTTATCTAGGCGTGACATGTCACTATTTACAAGATTGGTGTTTACGAACTCGAGTACTAAAAACAGCGGAAGTTCCTGAATCACACACATCAGTAAATATCATAAACAATTTAAAATATATTCTTAAACACTGGAATATTGAGAATAAAGTTTGTGCTTTTGTATGCGACAATGCGGCAAACATGGTACGAGCTATTAATGACATGGGTCAATCAAATTTGGTTAGATGCGCTGCTCATTCAGTTCAGCTATCAGTCAATGCAGGTCTCCGACATAATGAAGTAAATGAATTAATGAATAAAATTAAGAAAAATTGTTGGCTATTTTAACCGGAGTTCAACTGCTCAAAAAGAACTTGAAGACGAACAGGAAAAATTCGGTGAAAAAAAAAGTAAACTTGTTCAAGATTGTTTGTTATGCTTCGTTCAGTTACGTATTGCTCTGTTTCTTTTGTGAAATGACCTGTCAACTTCACTAAATAGCGTTCACAGGAACACGTTGCAACAACATAGGTACTTCTTGGCTAACAATGACACAGTTGGATGAACAGTTTCATTTCTTTCCACCAGATAAGAGGATTTTTATCGTAAGGAATTTTCGTTTTAAATTTTGTACGCCTCAAGTTGATCGATTGGAGATGGAATAATTGGATTTAACGTTTTATCATCTTCTTCATCATTATCATCACTGTCAACCATTAAGGGTCAAAATTTTTTTTGGAGGAGGAGAGTCTTCTTCTTCAGATTCCATTTCCGATTCTGAGGGTTATAAAATTCATTTTCTTTTTCGACGTGCTCGGGTACCATTTTCTTCAGTTCAATTTCTAATTCTTTCCAGACTATTTGTTTTGTTCAGTAGACAGAAATTTCAAATCCCGATACCTGGGATCTAATGCCGATGCTTTAGACTCAACTAAACCTATCAATTCTTTATTTTTTTGGTCATTGATATCAGTGTTTTGACTTCTGTTATGAAGTTTGAATCTGGTATGAACTTGCATTATTTAATAAGCTTTTGATTAATCTATGTACTATTGATGCAGTAGTATAGTTTTCTCCGCCTAGTGTTTCAGTAACAACTTTAAGGGTTCTAAAACGTTTATTAAATCTTTCATATTTTAAAATCACCAGAAGCTACGAACCATTTGTTAATTTTGTTTTAGAAATTACCAGATTAACCAATTTTGTGTTTAAGATACTTTGTATCATATCAAATGTTGAGTTCCACCGTGTTAC